GTATGTCAGCAGCTGCTGCAGATGCCTGTGGCGCGCTCACACACACACACACACACACACACACACACACACACACACACAGGTCAGGTGGAGACACTACATATAACTACGTCAGTGAAGAAACATTACTGCAGGGGACTGCTTTCCTCCACCTGGTGCTCGTCCAAAAGAAGCCTGGCCACAGAGATGTGTCCATTCCTGATGGCGTCCATGAAAGGCGTGACTCCACAGCTGTCAGTGCTGTCAGGCATGTAGCCACATCTGGAAAAACACCAGTAAATGTAAGGATCAGTCAGACAAAGTTATCCGTCAGCTGCATTTGTGCCAAAAGAAGTCGCAGAAATTTAAGAGTGCAGAAATTTTCAGTGTCATAAAAAACAACTTAAATTTTATAACATCTATCTAACCTTTGACTTCTGCGTCACATTTAAATACATTTTTATACTGTGAATTTGTCATTTTAGGGCATTTTGAGTTGACATGGGCTATATATGTAAGAACTGCTGACAACTAAAGTCAGACAGCATCCAGAGTTGACTGGATTTGGCGTTAAATATGCAGCAGAATTAGTCTCCATGTAAAATTTCAACATACCTGTCCAGCAAGACCTTAACCACCTCCTCACATCCATGCATTGCTGGATGAACAGAGAAAGTGTAAGTTATATGATTTCCCCTCACGTCACATCTCCACATACTGTAAGTACAGACACCTGCGGTGTGTAGTGGCGTCCTGCGTGTCCTGCTCTCCGTCCTCCAGACGTCTGGTGCAACAAGGAGCAGGTGCTGTATGACCACAGGGTCTCCCTCTCTGCAGGCGATGTGGAAGGAGTTCCAGCCGTCCTTGTTTCTCAGCGCGGGGTCGGCACCGTGGCAAAGCAGCTCCTGGATCACGTCCAGGTTCCTCCGAGTGCACGCCATCATCAGCGGAGTCCTGAGAGCAGAGACACAAATCTCCTCTGACAAACAAACTTACTGCAATTGGTGGATATATTCATACACTCTATGTAGAAGATCTGTCCCGTACTTACTGATAGAGCCACTAGGGGGCGTGGATAACCAGGCGAAATATGGAGTGAAGTTGGAAAGATAATGTGCTGCTGCTGTCCTACTGACCTGTTTTTATTTGTTTCCTGCGCTACAATCATGGAACATATTATACAACGTGTAATATCTTCACATTTTAAGAGTAGCTTATGAAAAAAATTATATTACAATTTCTTTCATGTTAATTTTAAACGACCGTACTGAATACACCCCAAACGGAGCACACAGATACAGTCTGAGCACTGTAGAACAGTCAGTGTTTAACAGGGCTGGACTGTAAAGCCTGAATTTGAAATAATGTACATTTAATTTGTAATAAAGTATTGTATTGTCAGCTATTTTTACCAATAAGCCCCTTCGATTTCCAACTAGAAACACAAATTTATTGAAGTATATTAAAGAAAAGTAAAGCCGCTCCTTCAGGTATATTTAGCTAATATTACGCCATTTGTTTATAGTTGTACTGTTCTGTCGAGTTAAAAAAGGTAACTCCTTCGAGCCGGATTCGAACCAGCGACCTAAGGATGTCAGCATTCGGCCTCTACAGTCCTCCGCTCTACCAACTGAGCTATCGAAGGGCGGTAACCCCTCCCACAGCGAAGCCAGCTTTAAAGTGAACCCGGGAAAGATGGCGCTTACTTCTTCCTCCTTCCTTTTGGGGTAGGGTTACAGTAATGTAGTAACACGTTAACAGGTTCTTTCTCACCAGTCAGCCTTCTTCAGACTGTCCACTTTGGCGCCTTCTTGGAGCAGGTAGCTAACACAGTCCTTGTGGCTCATGGAGGCTGCTTCGTGTAGCGGCCTCTTATAGTCGTTGTTGTACACCTCTACATCCAAGCCAACCCTCTTTATCAGGTACTTTACAATGTCCAGGTGTCCATGCCTTGCGGCGTAGTGCAGCAAGGTGTCTCCCGACTTGCCGAAGTGTTTGCCACTGACAGTTTGCGCCGCAGTCGAGCCGCCTAATGTTATGTGTTTCTCCAGCGCGGCCAACTGTCCGTCCTGAGTGAGCTTCACTAGCAGCTTCGAAGTGTTTTCATCCATGCTGGGTGGAAGTTAAATGCTGGAGCAGAAACTGGCCTACGGGCCAAAATAAGAACAGTTACTCTGAAGTGTTGAAGAACACACGCTGGCCTGTTTACCAGCGCGATTCCTGGTTGAGCTGCTTAGAATCACGTGGCCAACCATGACCTAACCCTGTACCTCTGAAACCAACATAAAGCACGCAAGTGTTTGTTTTTTTACGTACTTATATCTTGATCAAAATTCTAAATATTATTATGAGCACTAATAGATTTTTTTTTTTGCAATTTAAGATTAAAATGACCTGAATTATACAGTGTGTACATATTGCTACAATTTGATGAGAAACCTTTTATACAACAGTCAAAACAAGGTTAGAGCCGTCACTTGGATTAGGAAAGAAAGAACATCATTGCCCTTATAGGAGGGCGTGGCCATGTGGATTGTGGGAGATGTAGTTGTTGTAGCAACGTGATTTGGCTCTCTAAACTTTAGAGAGTTCACGTTGCAAATCACTTTGCTCTTTACATTAAAGACAATTTTGGTCGTTTAGAGTCTAAATTGTCTTTAATGTAGTTAAATAATAAAGAAAATTTAGGTTAATAAATGATTACTGGAATAATGTTAACACATCTCATGAGGGTAATATCACAGACTTTCTTTTTCTCTCTGACAAAATACCAAAAGTGGATCAGATATTGCCGTCACTGGTCTTCTAAACGAGATAATCCAGCATCTGGCTAACAAGAAGAAGACCAACAAGACGAGTCACATCTGGAGGAAAAGGTTGGGGGAGAGAAAAGCGGGTGAGTCTCAGTCCTCAGAGGTTTTACAACACGGACCATCAGCTGTAACCTCCACGCTGTTCTTGCTGGTGAGTGTGTTTCAGACATTTGACTTTGTACTGCACTTAAAAACAAATGATGGCTGTCGTATCAAAGCAGCACTGACACACCTTCATGCTTTGCCATCTAAAGGAGCTTTTTTTCCTCTTTTTTGTTCTACAGATAGTTTTGTGTCTGTTATGGTTGCATGATGTTGTAATGTGTAAGGGTTTAAGTAAACCATAGAGCTTTTTGTCATTTTACACTAACGTGCTCTGTTTAAAGATTTCCATCTAAGCTTTTAACTTCAGCTCCCAGCGCTCGGTCAAAGCGTCTGTTTCAGTTACTTCTCTACATTAATGGCTCTTTGTGGACAGAGGACAAACACAAACAGTTTTCAGAGTGATGGTTTCTGCACTGCACCATCACACATTCACACACCGTGAGGACTTTGTGCTGATGGTGAAAAAGTGGTTTTCTAAATCTAAGCATAATATCACGCACTTGTTAAACTATTGGTATAAACTGACACTGACAATGTGAAACTGCACTGAGATGCATTAAGAGGACATATTACATACAAGAATACTAAAGTGTAACTTCTGTAAATGATGAGTTGTTCAAATGCAGCCCAGCTGTTGGGCAGCTCTGCTCTTCCCAGCTAAAGCTAAGCAGTTCCAGATGTTTCTGAATTCTCTGAAGAGCAGCAAATAAACCAGAAACAAATGCAGGACACAAACTGCAAGTCCTGTTGTACTTCAGCTGACAGCAGCTCTGGTGAAAGGCTGCAGAGTAGGCGTCATTATGAGCTAATCAAGCTGCCATCCTCTCTGGGCAGATTTTACATTTTAAACTTAAAGCATAATTAATGGGGTGTTGGTAAGAATCCCTTATTTGTCCCATGAAAGGGGAGACTTCACCCCTCCGTTCACTGTGTGAGCATTTGTTGTATTTGTATAAAGGTTTGAGAGGCTGGTAGGCAAACACATGCCCCGATGCAGCCGGCACCAGAAAGGAAGGAAATACTTTGGACTCAGCCACGTGTCAGCCCTTGTCTCACTGAATCTGTGTCTGGTCACATCGTTCTGCTTCATGTAAAGGTCTTTTTGTGTTACTTTTCACTGTAGCTTTTGTTCGAGCTTAGAAACAAACCTACTGGCTTAGGAATGATCGTGTACGTCACACTTCAGAGATACGAGCTTCCTTCCTGCTAGTGTTACGATTCCACTGTTATCATTCCTAATCCCAGTGTGATAGGATCGCCGACACCACACCGTGACAGAGCCTCCCCGTGTTTTACACATGCCTCTGGACACGCACTGCTGTACCTCTCCCCTAACCTCTTCCATGCATACGGACAACAATTTGAATTGAGGCCGTTTCTAACGAGACTTTGACAAATGGTAGATGGATGGGCCGAAGCCCCAGATCCAGCCCTCAGGTCAGGCGTTTGCTGGATTTTACCCATGCTCTTCATTTGCTTCAAATAGTTTTTTAGGCCTGCCATTCATTTGTCGTCCACGTGTACACAGCATATGTCAGCTCTTTGGGAATCAGCTTGTTTATGTAAAATACTGCTTTATGCTTTTGGGCATTTTTTTGCAGATTCAACTAAAGAAATGGGAAAAGCTGTATGTTTTGTGACAGGATGCCTTTTTTACACTTTAATAGTAAGTGTTGAGTGACTGGTCAAACAAAAGAAATATCCCTCCCAGTATGGTCAGGTACTGTCCTCAAAATGACTAAAAAGCAGCCAAAGACTGATGAGGAGTGCAGTGATGTTTAGAGGGAGGGCGAGATCGGATGCTGCGCTGCGGTGACTCCTAACGCGAGCAGCTGAGAGAGGAACACGTAAGGACTGATTGTTCTGCACAGACGGCCTCTCTGCTTTGTGTTCGTAGGGTTACAGCTGTACTCTGTCAGACTACCTCAGATTATTCACAGCTGTAGAAGACGCTGCTTCTAAACAGCAGCCATCAGGTTGTTTGACAGTAACACTCCCTGCACTGCAAACATATGAGAGCTGTCATCTTTAGAAATAAAAACACATTTCAGGGCTGTTAGCTGTGTTGGCAGGTTTCAGGGCTCCCCTCCCTGAGGGGCCAAATTACAAAATATTTCATCTTTTGCTCCTCAGAAGTGGCTTCATAGCTCTCTCCTTCTCTGTTCTGGTGTGTGTGCAGATGTCCCTGGAAGCAAATAGAAAACATGGCTCTCCTGAGAAAAAGTAAGTGTAACCAAAGTGTGATGCAAATGGATAAAGACTGATTCATGTCGTCCAGCAGTATTAGCTGACATGTAGCTGAGAAGTAACGTTAGCAGATTGTGTTGTCTGCATGTGCTTTGCATTCACGTCCACTGTGCATCCACTGGGCAGCTGTTGCCAGTAAAGGTCGCTTCATTTTTCCCCAGGAAGAGGAAGCAGCCATGCACATGGAATGGGATAGGCAGATGGCAGCAGGCTGTAACGACTTATTCCTGAACTGCATGCGGTTGTTAAAAAGTAAAAGCTGCATGTGTGCAAGTTTCAGTAACTCCAGTGTTTTTCACGCTGTTTTCTTTCTACAGAAAAGGCACATTTTCCACTTTACTCGCCTTCAGGAAATCCACCTTCTACTAGCCAAACCTTTAACGCTTAACTCGACTGGTAGCTGGATTCTCTCATACTGTGAGAGCAATCCTTAAGTGCTTTCACTAATCCGTGGTTCTAGGTAACGAGTCAGGATGCTGTGCAGACTCCAGTTAGCACTAGCTACAGTACCCGGACAGCTGCACAAAAACCAAAGTATGCTTGTGTTTGCGGACCCTCCTTCCTCTCTGGTGTGTCTCACAGCTGGAGGAAATACACAAAGCATTTTGAAAATGGACATGTTTTACTTTTTATAGTAACAGCTGATAATCACTTAATTATTTATGGGATGATTTATTCTCTGTCTTTGCTGTGCGACTGAGAATCACTGTACCATTGCTAGCATAAAGGTAGCCGTTACCTGCCTATTGTAGCAGCCGGCGTCTCTGTGAAGTCTTCTTTCTTTCTTTGGTTTAAAGCTTTCAGTCGCTTTAAGCCAACCTGAGCTAATGAACAGCAGACTGTTGTCTGGCTCAGCCATAAAGAGCCTCATTTTATTTTTTATTATTCTTACTTGTACTTTGCTTTGACTGTGTTGGTGGAGGCTCAATCTGATGTCGCCGTGCTGATGTTCCTGGATCAACAAACTGATGTCGGTCCTGGTTCAACATCGATCACACTGTAGTGATGGAAACACCGTCACATCACTCAGCCCTAACCACAATCACATCCTGACCTGTTTCCCTGAGTGGACAGCTATGATGTCACAACGGTGTGATTGGTCAGATCCAATGTTGATCCTGGACATCACCAACATGAGGATATCAGTTGATGGAGAGGAATAGAGAGGGTCAGAGGGAGTTTCTGTCTCTGCTGATGTAGAGCGAGCATGTGATGTCAAAGGAGGACATGTGAGGATGGTGCAGGATGTGCATGAGACACAGTGATGATGGGCAAGCTGACAGATGAGGTCAGGCACAAGTCTGTGGTTTATGATGTTCCTTCTAAACGTAGACAGCTCTTGTTGTTTTACGGCATCAGTCTGCTTTGAGACAAACTTCTTTAGTTTTGCACTCAAACACTGAGCGATCGCGTTTCAGTCAATCGGATCCTGCTGGTGCTGCTGGTGCTGATGGTGTGCCTCCTCCTGCGCAGTACACTGCTCAGAGCCTCCACTCGGCCAAGACTCTCAGGTGCGTCAGCGTTGGTCTTCACTACTTAATCTGAGAAATACTCACTAATGTTCCAAATGTGAAATATGTTACTCTCCTTAAGTGAAAAGGATCCCACTGAAATTGAGCATAAACCAGTCTAAACTCCTGATTCCTGACAGAGAACAGGAAAAGCCCCAAGAATGCAGGACAAGTTCCTCAGGAACACGCTGCAGAAGCGCATGATGTCGTGCCCGTCGTCATCTGTGCATCAGAGGAGCGCATGGGTGCCTCCATGGCAACCATCAACAGCATCATCAGCAACACAGACGCCAGTGTTTTCTTCTATGTTGTTACTCTTCGTGATGCTGTCAAACTCACGAGGTGCATCTTTGAACTACAAAAATATGAATCGCACTTTGTTCCAAATATGGAGATCAGTTTTCTCCCAGTATTGTTGCCCAAAGTGAGTATTTCTCACCTAATCTTCCTTTTGTGTCACGTAGGAGGTACATAGAGAAGACAAAACTCAAAGGCATCCGCTACAAGATAGTGGAATTTAACCCGATGGTCCTTGTTGGAAAGGTGAAGCCAGATTCATCTCGACCCGATCTCTTACATCCCGTGAGTGCTGCATCCGTG